TGGCTACATTTGAGTATAACCAAGTATCTGGATGTTTTCACCAAAGGGATCTCTTACTAACCCCTTCAAAATCATAAACTTCATCCTCCAGGCAGTTTTTTTTCCCCATCGGTACCAGGGATTGAACTCACGACTGCCTGCTTGCAAGGCAGGTGCTTATGCCGCTGAGCTAAATCCCCAGCCCTCTCCAGGCAGTTTTTATACAGGTAATACAGAAACAGTACACATACAACTACAGCCCTTAAAAAAAACCTTACAATATCAGAGTCAAAAATACCTTGACCAATCAAATCATTGCTAAAGCATTATCAGCAATACTTCCTAAAGCATTACATGCTTCTGAAAGTGACCAGCAGAAAGTATAGCAGGTGGCTAGCATCTTTGCACTCAAGGAATCCTAGAAAGGTTTTAGAAGTGGCTTTGTGTTAAGGATTTCTCTGAATGATTGCTGTATCTTGACTAGAAGCCAAGCTCAGAGGACAGAGGGTGCAAACTCCCATTCTCCTTACAACAGTCAGGACCCTCCTACAGAACACACGCTGCATTAACTCCTCCTCCTGGGATATGTTAAACAATAGGCATCTACTTAGTACTCTACGAATTAAAAACTCTTTGAACCAGTCACTACACTTTTTTCCCATCTTCCTCTTTGGTAGCAAAGATTAGAGCACCTGGTAAGAAGAATGCAAGGACATTGCAGAGATTCTCCTAGGGCACCCTTCTTCACCCTTCTATGTCCTTTCCCTTTGCTTAAGAACTCTGTAGTGCTCTCCACTGTGCCTAGCCATGCCATTTGCTTCTAATGACTGCTGGTCAGTGTGAAAGATGATGATCTGAAAGGGACTTGTGCAAGTTGCTGCTACCCTCTGCCACTTCCATGAAAATGCCAGTCTGCTCTGATGCAGAACAAGAGGTATGTGAAATATGCTGAGTCCCTCCAGTTCAGACTAACCTTCCAGGGAGCCAGGCAAGAGACTTGCCTTGGAAAACACTCAGTTGCTATGACTGACCTCCCTCATAAAGAAAATGTTTATTCTGCACAATAACCAGTGCCACTGGGGTTTTGTGGTTATGCATTACTCTCGTGGCAAAGGTAACTCTTCCAGTAGATTTTAATTTCACACTTGAGTAATGTCTTAGGCAACTTTTGTCAGAGGGTTTGTTAGTAAACATCTTCATTTGCCATCTGCTATTTTGTAGACTAAAGATTAAGGCCTCCAAGATGGAGCACCTACTTTGTACTAAGGGCTCTTGCAAGTGCTCTCATTTCTGTCACTTAACCACTCTGAAGATTAACTTCTCCATTTTTGGGAATTTGAGGAAATAAGGGACTTTGAGGCAGACTGATGAAATGGTTTATCTAAAGACATACTTTGGCACATTCTGTATCCAACTCCCAGACTTCTAAGTCTAATTGTATTTTCCATTACATCAGAAATGATAGCCAAGACTTAAAACTAGCAGAATGTTATTCTTCCCAATTTACTGAAGACTAAAGAGCTTGTTCAAAGACAACTGAGTTTTTATTCCATCATTCAAGATAGCTGAAGTATTTGTTCATTGCAGCACTATTTTTTAAAGCATTCTATTGCTAGTATTCTTGTTCAGCTTTTAAAATATTGCTATATTCCCTGCTGGAAAATATCCAGACAACCAGAAAGACTAAGTCAATATAGACCTGCCACCATTTCCCAGTTTAAAGGATTTTATGTTCAATATTCCTAATCACCAACTATACAAACTGTGATTATAAATCCCTTTGTAGTAACACTGGTTACAAAAAAAGATACACTTACTTTAGCAGTCTGATATAAATGGGAAAATGGTACACAAAATACACCCACTTTGATGGTTAATCTTTAGGGAATGATGATATATTTTTAGTTCTCTCTCTCTTTTGTAATTTCAGTTTAAAAACACATCAATTAAGTATTCTAAAAGAGCTTTGTAAATGTTTAATTGCAGGGGGTTAAAAGTAGGCTGGGCAAAAAAGGGCAAAGGGTATAAAGTTGACATTTTGGCAAATAAGAATTGTGCCATATATAGAAATCCTTAAACTCTGAAGAAAAAATAATCTCTGAACACCAAAATTTAGTTTACCAAGTCTAGCCTGATTTTATTAACTTATATTTGACTGCTACTTTAAGTATATGAGAACTAGATTGATGGATAGGAAAATAATACTTTAAAAATTAAACTCTTGGAGTGTAACATTTTTGCCAGTGGTTTTAATTCTGGGATTTGTATACTGTATTTTCCTCTGCCTCTTACTTCCTTTATGTATGTAGCTTGTAGCACAAAATTCTTCCTTTAAAAATTTCAGAGCATAGCAAGAAACCGCAGTGCTTTGCAGGCCACTAATTCTGTTACAGATAAAAGCATTCAATTATCTCTACAAAATTCAATTCCATAGAAAATATGTTCATGATTGACTAAATACGTTCTTAAAATGTGGGGATACCACATACTAATTTTTCAAGATCTTGATTTAAAAGTTGGAATGAAGTAGTTTGTGGTTCTTGGGTAAAACAAAGACAATAACCTACTTAACCAATATAAAAGAATATAGATGTTTTTATAAAATACTTTGATTCCAGATGACAAGCTAGGTTTAATCATATCTTCATTTTCCCTTTCCCCACTGCAGTCCAAGCATATTTTTAAAACTGCAAAGTCACGTAAAACTGGGTCAATTTTTGTGTTAAAATCTTAATTAGCATAGCATTTACAGGGTGAATAGTGTCAGTAACCAGTGTAGGTAAAATAACATGAAAAGAACCCTAAGATTTGAAATCAGAGTAAATGAATTTCTAATTTAAGCTTAAGATGGGTGATCCCCACCCAAAATTGCTGTTAGGCAGTAGTTAAGGCCTCTGATGATTTGATACATCAGAAAAATCTACATTCACAACATCTGCTATAATGCACCAGGTCCCCTAAATTAACAAACCTCAGCTGTATAAATGAATGAGCTTTGGTATACACATAGTTGTCACCAATGAAACAATTTTCCCACCCCCCACCCTACCCTTGCAACTCTCCCTTAGCTGGTCATGACTACCATTCTTAGTAACTGCTGCTGACAACTGTTCAATAGTACCATCTCACTGTGGAAGCACAGGCATACACCTATCTATGGCTTTTACTTCCCAGCTGCCCAAGCTTTCAGATGTGGACATTATAAGAGCATCTACCTAGTTTGTGGCTATCAAATGTTTCTGCTCATCATAAGTGTAGTACCAGCTCAATAGTGTCCAATTTTCATGCATGTTCATACTGACAAGTAAAACAATATTGAAAGACCTCCTTTTGACCTGCTTTAAAAACTTCTCCATTTTTCCAAATTGAACCCATGTTTTAAACATTGACCATATTTTTCCTGGACCACACTATTTAGAAATACCTTTTCTCTCCTGTGATCACATCATTCCTAAACTACTTTTAAAATTACTTTTAGAGCCATCTTATTTTCACACAGCATTAAAGGAGGGGGCAGAAGCAGACATTAAGATCTGACATATTACCACCTTAAACTCCATTTATGCTGTAAGGGATAAGCTTACATAGCTTGAACTGGAGTAACGTTCTATGCTAGTGTAGCTTCTTGGGTGTGTGCATGTTCTAGTTAACTCTGCACTTACAACTTTTCAGTCTGAATCAGTTTTTGCCATCTATTAATGTGGTTGACTTTAAGAACGGAATTATTATAAATCAGGCCTAATTAAATTATTATAATGATACCATATACCCATAATCCCAGAACTTGGGAGGTTGAAGCAAGTGAATTACTACGTATTTGAGACCAGCCTATTTAAAGCAGTATGACATTTAACAAAATCCTCATCAGATAAGCTAATTGTAGATGTATTTCTATACCTTCACATTAGGTTTGTTAGGTACAAAATTTACTTTTTATTTCTTTGTGAATTTCTAATTTTTAGGACAAGTAAAAGTGTGGTAAGTGGCGTATCAGTGTTTTCTCTAGCTTTTGGGCATGCTCGGTGTTTAAAAGGACTGCACTGGATTGCATCAATATGCCTAGACAAAAAAAAAAAAAAAAAAAAAGTGGGAAAGAGAGCCCAGCACGTCCACCTTAACAGTCTCCCTTTTCAGCCACTTGATGAGCACACGGCATGATGACATCAGGGCCATTCCTCCTGACACAGTTAACCAGTATCACTGCAGCAGGCGAGTCAGATGGAAGTGTGTCTGGGTGAACACCAGAAAGATCTCCCCTACGTATTGGCCATCTGAAGGGATGTTGTAGTTCAAGGTTGAAAGGTACTTTTTATTGTTTAGTTTTATCTTGTAGCAGTTTTAATAAGTCTAGGTTTTATCTCAGTAAAAAACTGATAAACTATGCTAGCCCCTGGGCTGTTTGATACCAATACAGGTCAGTGCATTTCACTTTCTGAGGTTCCTTTTTCGTTTCATCCTAAAGAAATAAAATGGCTTGAAAGAGCAATCTGCTTACCAGAAAGTGACTGGTCACCCCACAAAAATGAGCTCTCGCAAGACACAAAGTATGAGCGGTATAAAAAATCCTCAAGATTATCAATTATCTCATGATAATATAACATGAAATTATGCCATATCTAGTATTTTTCAGTGGGGATTTTAAAAAACACAGAATTTGCTCTTTGGCTAAAACTGTATTTTGAGAGTAAACCTAAATTCCATCTAATTTTTGTTTACAACATAGTTATTAACTTGGTATAGGTAAGCTATGAAATAAACTAAATGTATAACCAGCACCATGCAGTGTGTTGTTACATAAGCACTATTTGTCTAAGGATGCCTTTTATTAATAACATCAATTTAAAAAACAAAAGGATAAGCTTTAAAATCATTCCTATATGTGTGGTATCTACACAATATTTTTTCTCTTTTTTTGAGAGTACCTATAGAATTTAGACAGTAAACACCAAAATATAATGCCTTCTGGAGAAAAAAAAAAAAGACCAACTTAAATCAAAAGCAATTAAAAACCAGTCCAATAATAAATGGTAAACAACTCAAATGGCTTTTTTTAATGCTAGGAAAATTGTCCACCTTTCAGTGGTGACAGTACGTAACACAGGTAGAGAGCAAACAACGTAAAAAGTGAAAAGCACATACAGATGCACACAAATATATATATAAAAAAGACCAGAAATCACAGGGCATTTAAGCAATGTTTTCTTAAGCAGAACTATTTAATACTTTAAATAGACTAAAAAATTGGTGTAGGTGAGGAAAAGAAATCATTATTTCACAATTTTAACTTGAAAGCCAGCTGTAATGAAGACCCAGTTCATTTAAAAAAAAAAAACCACATCATTTTTCTGACAGTCACAGGAGGAAAGCTTACATAGGACACATTTAACATCCCCATCACAGTGCGCAGAGGATGCAGCCACAGAGGACCAGCAGAGGGAACAAGAACAGAGTGTGCATCCATCATCTTGCATTACAAAGCTGACACTGCCTTAGGAAAGCCTCGGCTCACATGCGTGGTGTTCTAGCTGGAGAGCACCTTAAAACTAGGAGGACCTAAGACTTGAGAGCAAATACAGTAGTTTAGTCTTCATCGAATACTCAATTCCTTCACCTGTTATTGGCTGGTGCATTTAATAGTATCAATATAACATTCACCAGAGGAAATACAACACCACATTCTGGCTTCTTGAGCAGGCCAAAGAAATGTAATAAAGGTCAGGGCATCAAAGGCCATATTTTACCTTGAGAGGAAAACTCCACAATCACACTCAATTTTTTACTGTGAAAAATTTACATTTCACATTAAATTTAACCATATAAGGACACATGATTTATACTTAGATATACACAGCTCCCAAGAACTCATCTATTTAGTTACCTCTTCTTTGTTCCATTAAACCAGTTACCTTTCCTGGGTCACTAAACGTTATCTTATCACTACGTTGGTGTTTTTAGCCATTTGTTATAAACCTCAGGTTCCATTCAGAGGAAACACATCCCAATATTGGAAAAGGTGACAGACTTGAGGCAGCTGAGCGGAAAAGCTAGTGATGTCATAAAGTGAGTAAATCCCAAGAACACCTACAGCAGTCAATTTCCTCCTGGGTGCCTAGGACTCACCTGCATCCAGCAGAGTCCCAAATTCAAGAAACCACTCTCCAAGTTCTCTGGGCAGCAGGTCTTCCTAAGGACAGCCTCACTCATTCTTCACATGGCAGAAGTTAACACTTTTCAAGAGCTAAGGTTACATTTAAGGACATTAACCCTTAAAGTGTATTCAGCTCACTTGTTAATGGCCAGTACCTCCTCACTAAAACGATAGGAGGTCTCAAAGCATATTTAAAGGCATTAAGAATATTTGTAAGCATCCACACAAACTTAGTAATACATCAAAGTTCACTCTTGAAATGCTTTCAGACAAAACTTCCTAAGGTTCTTCTGGTTTATTTGGTTATAGTGTTTTACGGTATGCTTTTGAGATTTTCAGAGCTAAATGAATAAGCCAGTTTTTGTGTCTCTTCGTATTTTTTTAGGTAGAAATATTCCACACCAGCTATTGCCCACATTCTTGCTTCATATATCGAGAGGATGACTGCCAACTGGAGATATTTACCAGGGCCCAGAATTACATTAAACTATGTCCAACAGAAGGGTTGGCCTTGGGAAAAGAATGGCGAAAATGTTCTCAGATAGGAGTACTTACTTTGTCTACAATGATGTGATCTAATTCAATGACTGCAGAACTATTTTACCTTCTTATATAAATGTTCAGTGCCACAGCATCATTATCACTGATAAAAAGGTACAAATATGTATGCCTTAAAAGTCAGGGTCATAAAAGCAAAAATGAAGCCTGAGGTAAAAGTGGTCTAAAAAATGCCCAATTTGGGTTGTGTATTTTGCCAAAAAAATAGTATTCTTAATTAAAAATCCATGCATGTTACCTAACTGCTACATATACAATTATTTTTCCTGATTTAATCTGTGTATATTAATTATATAAATCAACAAGTGACTACATTCTTAAGGCAAGGCTAGATATTCACCAGAAAAGGACCCTATCCTTTTTCACATTTCTTTTCAGCTTGAACCATCCACAAATGTAAATACTGAAAGTGCAAACACAGTTTCCTAGGGACTCAATGATAAAAGGAAAATTTCACTCCAAGAACAGGGACTTTAAGACTTCCTCCAGAAAAATTCTAAGAACTATGCTACAGCATCATAAAGGGCAGAACTTATATATAGAACTAGAAATGTAGCAAGTTACCTAGTGACTAACATTGTAACATAGCCAAGAACTTCAAAGTTAGAAACAGGTAGCAAATCCTTTTAATTACCACCCCCAAAAAATAAAACTGGGAATTTCAGGTGAGTTTATTCTGTTGGAGATCATTCTTTTGGCAAGTTCTAGATTTTTGAGAGTTCCCTGGGTGGAGTTAATCCTCACCTAAAATGGCAGTGACATTGTTCTTTTAAGGGTCCTTACTGGATCTCAAGCATCATAGTGAAATTTTGGGTCCCCTGTGGTCCTTATGGCAGCAAGCTAACACTGACTGAAGTACTTTGGCCAAGTCCCTGTGGGTTAGGGCTGGCCCAAGGTACCTCAGGAAATGTTTCCATCGAGCCCACCTAAGGTCTGCACCTTCGGGCTATTGCCAGATACAGAAGAATCTGATCTCTACAGGTATCTGAAGCAGCAGTTTTACGGGGGCGCGGGGCGTGAGGCCTAAGTGAAATACAACCTACTGTTTTTTAAGAGTTAATACTAAAAGTTGGTACATTCCAGAGGCCACTGGATTGGATGTCTACTAATTTAATGATGGGGTATTGTGGGAAAGTTTCATCTGATTTTAATGAATTCCACCTGTGATTCTTGTCAAGCTGCCTAAAAATGGCATACTAATGGGTGCCAAATGAGGCCTCTGGGAGAATTTTTTAAAATTTACACTGATGGTCTGTCTGTGAAAGGAAAATGTCTGCAAGCAAATTAAAAAGCTTTTATTGAGATCTGAGACTTCAAACAATATTCACCATTGTTAAAATGACACGGTTTTCTGAGTATGTGTATTTAAACTCATACACATATATGATATACTATATTTCCTGCTAAAAAGTTTGAGGCAGTTCTGCTATATATAAAGTTAACTACAGTATCAAAGATAAAACAGTTCCTAACTCAAGAAACTGCATCAACACGTGAGACAAGTTCTCATCATAAAGGCTATCACGAGCCTATTATAGCTCACATTTCCTGGTTGAGAGGCTCAAAACACAGGAATTCTACTCCAAAAGATAATGTTTCTCTCAAGCATTACACATAAAAGGTAGTCTGAACAAACAAAACATTCATAAGAATCTTGAAAAGGAAAACAGAAATGGAACGCAATAGCAGAATTCTGACTTTCTCTAGAGACCAATCATTTGCATCCTGATTGTACTCAACACAAAACTCAAATATGACCCCCAAGATAAAACAGGGCTAGTATTGGAGGGAAAGCACTGGCTCCGACTGCCACAACTCGTAATTTTAAATGCAACCAAAATAGATTTGATAATTTGCTACTTGCCAGTCACAAAGACAATGAACTGCAGAGAATTTCAGATGCTTCTAAGATTGAAGTGGCAACCCAATTTTAACAGTATCAATTTCCTTGGTAAAGAAATAAGGACTTGGGATATAAAAAGCACCCTCCTTTATGGGTAATAGTAAAGTTCAAAGGAGAGACATGTTCTAATGTATGCAGATGAAGTATGGCTGACAGAGGACAAAGCCAGTGTCACATGGATACACGTCAGCAAAAGGAAGGACAAAATTCAGGTGAGAAACACAAAGGATTTGGTAAAGCACATGAAAGGAAAAAACAGGGTAATCTGATTTAAATATGAATGCTTTAGTTGAAAGGAGGCAAGAACTCAGTTGTTCACGTCCAAAGACTGAGTTATCTAAAAAAAGAGTTGAGATGGCACGAAGTGGGGCAAGTGGAATGTTCAGCTTTTAAAGCAAAGACTGCACATAAAGAGATTTTAAGTACAGAAAAGATTGTCTTTTGTTTCTTTACATCCCACCATAAACCTACCCCATCCTCAGACCAAGAGGGTGTCTAATATAGAGTAAAGGCTCAAAGTACTTAGTAATTCAAAAAAAGATAGACTTTGAAGGTATATATGGGCAATTTTTAGAAGAGGTAGAGAAACCAACAGGGTATATGCTTTGATTTAAACTAGTGAGAGACTACAGACTACTTTTTACGATCAAAGTCTTAGTCTTGATGCAACTGACAACAAAGGCACAAATCAAGTGAAATTAAAATAATTTTAACAAAGGGGAAAATCTGACAAAACTGAACGTGGTTTAAGGTAAAAAATGTAACTAGATATTAAATAATCTGCAAAAATATACTTAGAACACAGAGTTAGAGTACAGATTAGAATCTTTAGCCTTCAAGAAAAATTAAGCAGACTTCCTTCTGGCAGTGACAGGCCCCGAGGGCAACAGTAACCCCCAAAGGACTCAACCCTACTTGAAGGCTAGGACCAAGTTTAGTCATGTTTTTACTACTCAACATCTATCACAGTGGCTAGGTAAACAGGCATCAATCAGTAAGTGTTCACTGACCAAATATACTCAATAATGTATAGTCAGTACAACTGGTGTGGTTCATACCTTTAGGTACGTTTCTTTAAACAAGATGAAAAAAAAAAAGCACAATGTGGTGGCATTGTAAAAGATTGGCCTATATCCAGTTATATTTCTAATCCATTTATAAAGACTTTCCAAAGCTTGTTTTAAAAACAATCAAACTCTTCTTTCAAAAGAAATCTCATGCACTGCTCCACTATAAAGTAAAATCACCTGCCACTGGGATCAGTGGGAACTCCAACAGCCTCCACATCCTAAGCCTGCCCTGGGATATCACTGGAGCCACTGGGCAAACCATTTAACAGGCAGGACAGCAACAGAGTCATTGCGTTCTCATGGCATTAAACTGAGGTTTACCAACAGTGTCGTGCAGGATAACGTCTAAGTAATGTTACTAATTTTAATAAAGATGAAATTCAACAGAGGAGACCTTATAGCTTGGAATAAAAACCATCCCTTCAATGGAAAACAGTCAATAAAAATTAGGCCTTAGTAGACAAAATATAATGCAAAAGCATTATCTTATAAAAACAAATATAGTCATTAAACAGTCACATAAATTTAATCATCACGATGATGAAATTAACTGCTCAAGAGGTACAGCTGCTCAATACAATAAGTGTTTGCAAAGAGTTCAGTCCTGGTTTCACACTGTACAGAAAAAGTCCCACCTGAATTGTGGAGATACACCCACTGCTGAAATGCCATTGCTGGCACCACTTCATTTAATATGTAACTGCTGGAATCTTTTACAGCTTTCAATCTTTGCCTCCAGGAATGTTCCCCAGCATCAGTATACACTTCTCAAGTATGTAAAAACTGCCACTGAGGTACAGAGGGCTCTACTGATTATCATCAGCAGGCCCCACCATGATAACACCTGGGACATTTAATCACAAGTTGGGCAGAAGTAATAATTTGAGGGCAGCAGGATGTCTGGAAGCAAGCAAGTCACCACACTGGTGAAAATTTGCACAAGCATGGGTAGTTATACCATATTAAGTGGTACTGACCTGGTGCTAATAAATTTTACAGCCAAGATTTAATGAAGAAGATATATTAGTGAGAATGACACAAAGCAGTCTATCACAAAATAAGGCCACCTTCAACGTGTTATAAACTGTAGAACCATTCTGATCTTCAAGTTTGAATTTGTGGAGAGGTTTCTTTATAAAGCATTACCACCTAATAGTTTCCTTTAGAATATGCCTCTGCACTTGATGCCGTTCTCTTCACCAGGAGTGCTTATCTCCCTTGGTTCTTCACATGGCTTGCTTCTTCTAGGTCAGGTGCTAGCCCAAGCATCACTTCCTTAGAGGCCTTCCTGATGATGTCCTATCTGAAGCATCCCATTTGTTATTCTCTATTATAGTACCCTGTTTATCTCCTTCACAGACACATAAGATGATTAGGTGTTAGATAACTGCTGTCTCAGCAGAGGCAGGAGCTATAGCTGTCTTGTTCACCTTTACCCAAAGGTTAAGAAAGTTCCTGGCACATAACAGGTGAACAATAAATAGTTGAATGAATAAAAAATTACTATACCAAATTTACATGAACACATACATATACACATGAATAGGAAAATGGGGAGTATCCAATAAAAAACAACCCAATGCTGACAGTATCAAAAATGATACCTGTACACACAAGTGAATATGGTTTCAAAAAACAAGTACCAAAGGTTTCTATCTTCAAAACTATGAAAATTTATGAAAAGGGGTTAAGTGGTTATTTTCCATTTCTACTCAGATGCAAACAAGAAATGTTTACATTGCAATGAGTCAACATTAGACATAATCATTATTTGCTGAAGAATGGATGACCAACAGAGCTCTTGGAATCTTCTGTCATTGCAGAGTGTAAAATATGGTCAACTACACACCCAGGATTAGTTAAGAACAGCTCGGACATCTAATTGTAAGCTTAAAAACAAAACAAAACCCTGCTGAAGTTTCTCCTCCAATTTTTAGAATTCTGAATTGGTAACTATGTAAAATAACATTGAATTTATAAATTGAATACAACATACTTTAAAAACAGATGGCCCTTATCTGCTGATCATACCTCAGCATCTCTTTTCTAGGTATTTTGCAGAAGCAATTACATTTACAAAAGGTCCGTTTCATAATACAATCTGGTAACTAAATCAAATGAAGCTACTCAAAGAGCAGGTCTGCTGCTGAAATATCTTAAAATACCTTTTAAAAAAGGGTACTTATATTTATAGATTGGCTTTTAAAAAGGATAAATATACTGAATTCTAGCATATCCCTGAAAATAATTATACTGCCACTTGTGCATTCTTTATGAGGTGGAAGGTTAAATCAATAAACTGATAGGTTATATAAGTCAATCAGAATCTGCTGAAATCCAGTTGTAAGACAAGGGATTTATTCCATATGAATGTTTACTGGACCCAGAAGTTAACTGGTGCCAGCAGTATCAGTGCAATTATTAACAGCAATGATGTCACACTGCACTGTTTTGGTATCAGAACAAAAGGGGGATCAAGGAAAGAGGTTTGGAGAGGTTTTCAATATGGGTTTCTTATAAGACTTAGTGGTAAACACAAAAAGGACAAGTGATGAGCCCCACTGAACACATTAAGGTCAAAGATTTCAAAAGGGAATCCACTTTTCATCCCCCAAGAGTTTATTTTTGGTAAAAGGCAGAAAAAATTAGTTTTTCTACAAGGAAGATCTGCTTCTAAATGATAATTTGAAAATCTTGATATATATATTATATATTAAAAAAGACACAAAAATAATAGAGAAGTGGGAATAACAGATTAGGTATTGTAACTTTATAAAGGCTTGCCTAGATCAAGAAGCAGCACACACACATACGCACACGCGTGCGTGTACACACACACACACACACACACACACACACACACACACGCACCCCTCATTTATGCAAACTAAAAATGTATGAACAGCACAATACTGTGATACTGGGTCATGATACATTACCTGTACACATAACTACTACTGTTATTAATAAACCTTTGGGACATTTAGTCTTATGCCCAACGAGACATCAGTAAGTCTTTAAGTCTTCTCTTCTCCCTTTATGGGAGGGCATTTCTAGACACTAATTTTTCCATCTAATATTCAAATACAGGAAGCAGATTCCACAAGGTGCTTTAATTGATGAGACCTCAAGTGCTGTTTTCTCTCTGGAATTTTTGGATAGCAGATAGTCCATGGGGACCACACACAAATACTATAACAGAAGAGTTGTTAAGTCTTTTGATGGAACTTGATTGGTGATGAAGTTTTATGACATGCTTGAGCAGCGCACTGATGGGGATCCCATTTGAGTTAATACTTTGTCCAACCACTGTAGAGGTCCATTCAGATGAAGTTCAATCCAGCAAGGAGTACTTGTTACTGTCTGCCTTCTGTGGGAAGAATTACAATGAAATTAAAGGGAAAGATGGTTACAATTAGATATATACATGGAGAATTTTTTAAAATGTAAAGGACATATATGTAAAAACTGATTTTTTAAATAACTTAATTTTAGATACTCAGCTATTATTTTGAAACATTCTTTTCCCTTTAAATTAAAAGTTAGTATGGTGACTATTCATTATTTACCATCACCTAAAATGGGGCACCTTTGAGACAGAATATAGGCATCATTAACAATCAAGCTAAGGGAAGAAATGTGAACTAGGACTGTCCCAAGAAAACTCAAACATACAATTACAGTACTAAGTCAACCAAAGAATAATAGACAATCAAATATCAAATGAAGTCTATACAGAACAATTTTCACAGAACATAACATCTTTTGTTATTTTGTTTTTGTGACAAGGTTTTGCTATGCATTCTTCAGGCTGCCCTTGAATTCTTTATGTAGCCTAGTTTGGCCTCCAACCAATCCTGCCTCAGCCTTCCCACTGATAGCATTACCAACATGTCCCATCGTGCCCAGATCAAATTTAAAGTATATCAAAACAACACAATTTCTACCCAACCTAAATCCTTACTATACAATGTTAGTAAGACTGAGTTCATCCTTCTCCAACACAGCCAATGAACAACATTCCTTTTAAGCATTATTCAGTATTTTGATTAATAAACCAAATACCCCCACACCCAAAAAGATCCCAAACACTTTTAGTCCTTCAATGAAAATGCTACTCCCTGGGAATCACAAATTATTCAATGACAGCCAGAAACACCAAGGCACTGATTTTAGTTGTCTTTATTATGTAAGTCAAGAAATCTGCTTTTCCTTCTTCAAGGCTATCATCTGATAGCCCTTCCAAAGAAAAGTTCAATGTCAACTAATCTCCAAACAAATACAGATGCAATTTAAAATTGTATTTCCAAGAATGTTACTCTCTATAGCCAATGGTATCGTGCCCACTACACCATTCAGATTTTTAGTATATTCTAGCCAATTTCCATGTAGGTATCTGACTTTCTTTTTATTTTATTTTTGAGACAGGGTCTCACCATGTAGCCAAGGCTAGCCTTAAACTTGCAATGATTCTCCTGCCATCACAATGGGCCCAGGTATCTGAATTTTCTATGCCTCAACTTTTCTGCTACACATGCACATGTAGCAAGCTAAAAGAGCCAGGAAATTCACATCCGTTCACGGTAGGTAACAGAAAGTGAATGTGAATAAGAGGGGACTACTTGTTTCCCTGGTCTTAATTTATTTGTACAGTTTATTTTTCTCTACTTTTTATACTTCAAACTAAATTGCTATGTTATAGTCCAGGTTGTAATCTCCCATGCCACCCATCCCCATCTACTCAAATCCCATTCGTTTTTTGAACCTAGATCAGTGCTAGTGTAGCAATGACATGTGTGCTGCAGCCATTATCACTGAAAGCTCTAAAAAGTTCGCCATCACTGACCTACATCATGTGCCATGTCTTTGAGGAAGTTTTTTATGAACTGAAGTGCCAAATACACTTATGATATTTAACAGTCTTCTTTATGTTAAAAATGCATGTCTGTGCATGTTTTAATTATCTTCTCTAGCACAATAATTTGCAATAGTTTTAAATCTAGAGGCCTCCAACTTTATTTTATTATTTTACAAAAAGATCTTGCTGACTCCACAACTTCAAACAGACATTAACGAACTCCAGAAGATGCAAATGAATCTAATAAAAAATTGATACATTGTAGAAATTTAAGAATATGCATTCATACCGATATTCTGCTCCCCACCCTTTCACAAAACTCATTCGTATGGTGCACATTCTAGTTAGCTGATACACGGCTTCAAAACCCTGATTAACAGACTGAGCCAGAAGAGCAGCAAATTCCTGGTTGTTGAAGATCTTCAGGTTACAGCCTAGGATTGAGAAAAAGTAAAAAAGAAACAGTGTAAAACAGTATCATTACACACACACACACACAATTTTTTAAAGGGCTAGTGGTTTTAGAATATAAGCATGCAAATTATCTCCTTATTCCTAAAATTATTAGGAACTAGACAAGCTAAGCAGGCTAATACGATATGTTTATTTACATTGTTGAGTCCATACCTGGTGGAATTTTACACACTGTTGCAGGGTGCCAGCCGTATCTCTGATTACAATTGGGGCTCTGTACAAAGATTGCACTATCACTTAGGCACTCAGCAAAAACTTCCCCACCTATGTAATATAAGCGCACTCCTCTTCCTAAAACAAAATACATATGGGGTTAGTTTTGTAACACTTACTATTTCAGTGTGACTTTGGGAGAGTCTTCTTGGAAGAATTCTAAAATGATATAAAGTATTTTGATGATTTTTTTCATAGCTATGCTTTTCTGAAGTCTAACTTTGAAATAATGTATATTTTTCAAAGACTTTTAAACCATGATTTCATTTTTAAAATATATGCTTATCAAAATATTTAAACAATGTAAAAGAAAGTACAAAGATAGTAACATAGTTTCATGCAAGTTATCTACTATTTTAAAGTTAGTTTTTTAAAAAAGGGTAATTTTTAAAGAATTAACTAATGTTTGGACAAGTACTTTCATTTGTCTTTCGTTAAAAAATGCACTAAGGTTAAGAAAAAGATAACAAAAAGGTTAAAAAGTGTGTATTATAGTGGCAACCAATCTCTCTACATAAGCAGAATTAGTAAGAAAAAGTTATATTGGAATATTTCAATACTTCTTTAAGAACATAACTGAAGACACCACGAAAATTAGCTTTGGAGGCATGAAACACCTGAGCAGGCAGCTTTCTAAGCCAGCACCTAAAAGAGCTATAGGGTGTTGCTGTGAAGGGATTTTGCAGAAGTAATTAAGGTAGCAAATCAGCTTACCTTAACAAAAGGAAATATGCTTGTTATGCAGCAAAAGAAAACTAAAGTCAACCAACAGCCAGATTTAATAGACAAATGCAGAACCTGCTGCTCTGTTCCCCTAAGTCTCCGTAATACTGTTAAAACAATCTATCATGTATTATTCTATCAGGAAAATATTAAGTCCAACAAGTAGACTTTTCAGGCCATATTTAAAGTACACAGATCTAAAATTACTACAATCTCAATTACTGTTGGGAGAAGTCAACACAGTAGAAGAAACCATCTGTTAAAATTTTTATGCTAAACCCCAATTAAAACACAGTACAGCCCAACTCTGTACAGTCAGAGGTCTTCTTTGCCTATAATTAGACAAGACTTGAAAACTTCCAAAGCCAAGTGATAGACATCCTAACCACTATTATTTTATAGTATTAAATATCACCTTTTTTTTGAGACAAAGCCTCACTGTGTAGGCCAGGCTGGCCTCAAACTCAGAGTGATCCTCTGCCTCAGTTTCCTGAGTGCTGGGATTACAGGTATACACCACCATGCATGACTCAAAAATCACTCTTTGGTAATCAGCATTATTTCCACAGATAGTGATAGTTAATTCAAAGAAAATACAAGCAAGTCACTGTTAAAAGAAGTTATTTGACAAGAGTAATGCTTAATTATTAGTGTCTCTCAAATATTTTTTACTTCACTATTAAAAAAAAATACCCAATATCCCTAAAAGATTTTGTATATATGAATTCCATTTATAGAAATTTAACATATTTGATATTTAAAACTGAGCTTTTCCCTTTCCTGTGTGTGTACATGTGGTACTGAGGACTGAACCCAGAAAGCAATGAACTACAATCTTCCCGCCTTCCTAGTTGGGATTACATGTACTGTAGCACAGCTAAAATTAAAGATTTTAGAATGTGTTAATTCATTTAAAACTAAAACAAACTTATTAATGTAAACAATATGTTTATAAAATTATTTTCAAAGTAAAAAGAGAGACAATGTATCACAGTTTTTAAAATTTCTTCATTGTCTGGCACCAAAGAAGAAAACTGGATTCTCTTATCTGATTTGCATTTCCTCTTTTGCAAAATCCTACCCTGTGTAGTTTCTAGATACTCCACTGTACACTTCTGAGTGACATCCTGGTACCATTAAGAAAACAGTTCTGATCCCACAAGCTTGCTGAAAGGGTTTTTGGAACTATCAGGGATCGCCAGATTCCACTTTGAGGCCACTGAATTATATTTTGAAGTACAGCAAATGGTAATTCTTGTTTTAGACACCTACTCTCAGATTAACAGTGAGGAGATCTGACTCAGTATAAGAGCTCCTGGGAAAAAGTCAGGAGATACAAAATTTTTTTAAAGTTTATGATTTGTAAAAATCATAATCCCAAAATTTGAAACATGGCCATTTTAGGAGTTGTAGAGACTCAGTATGTTAATGTTAGTTTAACATGTATTTACTGAAGGATTAAGTATCGAGTGTGCCAAACAAAGATTAAGTTGAAGAAAAGAGCTTGAGATTAAAAAATCATCAGGATCTATTAAAAGCAGACCTATTAAAAGCCCATGTACTTCTAAGTGATGGCACTTAAACTGGTACAGAGACTGCTAAGTTTTTACATTCAAGCTTTTCACGTGGTATACCACATAATGTCCACATTATGGACACAGAGGGGCTGTTCACATAAGGAAATGAAAACATACCTATATGTCTTCTCGTCATTTCTACGGTAGCATTTCGGTTAACATTGGAGAGCAAACCTAAGCAGAACCTCTCTGAATTTGATGGATCTGTAAAGCCATCTACAGTAAGTGAGGGCTGTGATGCGTGGAAGGTCTCTCCAACCCTCTGATTTAATTCATAATATGCTATTGAACACCAAAATGCAGGTTCTGAGTAAGTAACTGGCTGCAAATCTGAAAAACCAAGTGAAAAGAAATGTGTGAACAATTCAAGCTGAAAATAGACTAAACATCATCATCTTCACGTGTTGTATGCCAGCACACCATGGTAATAGTTAAGGAAGTAAACTTTACATTTATAATGGTTTCCACAGATCACACCCAATTTTCAAATGTCCCCACCTCATCTCATAAGGTTACTTTATATTGGGCTGTTTTTTTTAGTAGTTATAGCTTAGTTTGTGTTTAAATACAAAACAACCATAGATCAGGGTAAGTACACTTACCATACTTGGTGTATTTCTAAAATACTGTACATAATAAAAGCAACTTCTGCTAGATTAAGTAGAATAAAGTCTGAGCAAAGACTGATGAGTCAAATGCCAATACAACAAATTACCCTTTTTTTTTTGCGTTTTGTCTATTTTGACATGAGATTCTAGGTGAGTTAACTAAATTTCAAAGCATAGGAAATTCATGTATATCTAACTCAGAAAGTAATAAAATACAAAATATGCAAGTGGAAACAGAGACTATTTACAGGAAAATAAAGCTAGTATGTATTTCACTTCTGTTATTTGACTAAAACATATCATTAGGAATAATAATTTTATAAATAATTTTATAGAATAAATTGCAAACATATAGAAGCTGAAGAGAAATTATGACACAGCAAAGTAAGGGTCAAAAATAAAGCACCTGAATACCTATATACACATATATACATAATACACATTCAACTTCACACAAACATAGTAAGTTACCTTGCATTTAAAAAGTATTTATGTAGTGTGTATATGTGCATATATATATACATACACCTTATACTGTTTCTACAAGAAGTATAAACATATCTGTAGAACTTCATTCATAACAGGTTAGAACATGTTTGATGAAAAATCTATTTCACTGAATAAGGATTTGTTTCACACATTCATCTGCACCATGAATCAAGACTTAATAATACTGAGACATGACATCAATTGTTTTTAAGAGCAATGATTTAAATTATTTGCATAATTACTTGTTTATTTCATTGATATCCCTTTCTCGTACATACAAAAATAATTTTTGCAGAAGATTTTTCTTAAATAGATGATATAGTAAACAGTGTCTGCAACTTACCCAAGCTATGATTAACAGGGGAGAGAGTAGTAGGAGACAGTTCTGCTGGAGATCCTAAAAGGAAATTTAAAATACATGCTAGTATAGTTCCAGAACATCTATTCAAGTAGCAATAAAACTGATTGTCTGGGGCTGTAGTATCACTAATAAAACATAGCTAACTTAAATCCCAAAAATTCAAAATATATAACTATTGTACTTAAGTTTAACTTCGGGGACTTCAATACATAAAAGGTATAAATAGTCTTGGTTTCTCACCACCCAGTTCCCCTTCCAAAGGAATCTATTATTGACAGTTTCTTCTGTATATGATATGTATTGTATATCGTCCAAAATACTCTATGAGCCATACACATGAATGTATTTGTTCTGGCCTATCTTTTTGTAAAATGGTGTATGAAAAGGAAGTTCTGACTGTCTATATTACTGATTCAGAAATTGTTCATTCAACAATTGTTCAATTGTTCAGTTGATGTTTCATTACTGTCTCAGTACCTACCAAGTGCCTGGCTTTTGATCTCTTGCTTTAAAGACTAATCCTACACATCTTGCATACTTCCAAAAATATCTGAATGATACTTTTAACAGAGAAATTGCCAAGACAGAGTTTGTATATAAGTATGATGGACTTTGCTAAAATTGTTATTCAGAGGTTGTACTAGTTTACATTCCCAGTTTAAAAAAAAAAATGGTGACCAATGTTGATCAATGAAAACATACTCAACAAATACAGTTTTAACTTATGTTTCCCTTATAAACTACATTAAGGAGTTTTATGGTTCTTTCTATTCTTTTTTCTGAATGATTATTCTTTCTTTTGCTCATTTTCCTGGTATATTGATCAGCTTTTTTTTATTTGTTTGTAGAAGGTTCTTTATGAGAAATACTACTTCCTTCCCAGTAAAGTTCGCTAGTATTGGGTCACTTATTTTATGACTCATTCCTAATTATGACTATGCAGCATTTATGGAAGCTTACAGTTTAGTAAAGAAGTAGTGACAATGAATATTGTCATCTTATTCATGACTGTAAGATAATGCTTGTGGCATTTTCCCACTAAGCAAGATGGTGACTTTGAAGCTAAGCAAAAAAGTTACTTATTTCAGATTTTTGCATTGATAATCTGAAGAAACATTGATGGGGAGATTTGCATGTGTATTATATTTCTAAGGGTATGATCAAAGCAATGAAACTTTGTCTTTATGTCTTTCAATGCTTTTTAATAGTTTAAAATTGCATTGTAAAAGCACACTCAAAGTTCAGTAAAATTCTCTTAAGACACTGCAGTTGACAATTTAGGGTTCCCAAAGCATTTCTCTTGTTTCTTCCATGAAAGCTGGCTAAGACAGCTCTGTTTCTTAAAATGGTTTTATTTACTAAAGGTATATTTTCTCAGAAAATTATCCAATTCTATTTTAAATAAACAAATCAAATCCAATCAAGAAAATGACAGGGCATAAATACACAGAATAAGAAAAACGAACAAACAACAGACAAAAAAATTACTGGAACTACTTCACGCAATTCTATGCTAATTACATTTGAAAGCACATTTGTAAACGTTAAATAATCTTATTATAATTATAAATACAAGATCAATTTTGCTGATGATCATTGTGTACACATTCAGGGAAACTTCATCTAAAGAGCACAATGATCAACATACAGCTCCCAAAATTCAAATACACAGTATGGCACAGTAACTGCAGAACACAGTATTCCACCTAACTACAGAATAGTGAGGTCAGGTATGAAGTCCTTTCTACCAGATACTACTATAGCAAGGACATAATATAGCAGGTAACAAAGGTGAACTGACAACCGCTCAATAAACAGATAAAAGAGAACATGATTATTTTTAGAAAACAGAACAATTTTCCCTAACACAATTAAGTTACGTTCTTTCTTTGTTCCTCAGTTTAAAAAAATCTGTTGGCAAGTCACAACAGGTACTACTAAGGTCAAAATATATTTAGACACAATGAACTAAAACTGATGTTTCCTGAAACAGATACAAAATAAACAAAGGCAATATTAGAAATGGAAAAAAAAAACCTACCAGATTATTTGTATTATTTGACTATTTGTATCATTTGACTATTTGTATCTTATACCTGTTTAATTCTCTAATACTCATCAAAAGAGACCAGTAAGGTTGTAACTTATTAACTTGAAACCAATTAGGAGCCCAGGTAGACATGAGGAGAGTCAGATTTATAGATTACAAAAAGGGTCATTACAAAATTAAGAATTTAAGTTAACAGAGGATTTTAGAAAAAAAACCTGGGATAAGTAATTGATAATTAAACTATATAAGTGACATATAAATGCTGCTGTTGAAGCTGGCTTACAAATGGCATTCTCGTTGAGAAGGTAATATTCTATTTCAGTTAGTTTTAATCAACACTATCACTGTAGCTAGAACATCCAGAGAAATCATTACACATACATCTTTGCATAGAAGGTTCACATATATTTGTGTTACACATTTTCCAAAGAGGAAATGTAATTTTTATAAATAAATGCATAAATAAACACCAAAAATGTTTACTCTCACCAAAAATTTCTGAGTTGGTGTTTCTTTGCACTATTATCTGATCTGCCACTACAACAGGCTTAAAGAGGGACTATTATTTACCATTTGGGTCATGGATAGTATTCATACTTTTTCATTTTTCTATTGTCTTTTGCCTCTTGTAAGTTTTTAAATTGTGAATTCAGTTCTTAGAACTGGCATGTTTTTATAAATATTTCCCTCACTTTTTAGGTCAGTTATGATGTGTCTTTCTAGGAGACACTACATTTTTTTTCTTATTTTTTAAAAGTTTTGGGTTCACAGCAAAACAAACGGAAAAGTACAGAATATATCTTATTACTTAACAGTATACATTCTTCGATGTCTCTTCAAAGCTTTATAGCTCTCTGCTTCTTAGCACTGTATATTATCACACAGTTGGGATGTACTACAGTTTATCCATTTACCCATTAGACATCTTGGCTGCTTCCCAATTTGACAATTATGAATAAAGCTTTTCTAAGTATTCATGTGCAGGTTTCTGTATGAACGGCGAGTTCTCAAGTCATCCAGGTTAGTATCAAAGAACAAAAGTATAAGACTGTGTGCTAAAGAGAATGATTAGTTTTTAAACAAACTGCCAAACTATATTCTAAGTTAGGATTCAGAATGAGCATGCTAAAGGAAAAACCAACCAAAATTTTAATGGTCATGAACAGACAATTGGAATTCAGAAGCCCCAAGCCCGTTCTTATATTCACAGTTTTCTACTGAGTATGCAGTAACACAATAAATCTGGAGCAAAGTTAGAAAACAGTGAGGTACCCCATAGTTTTGTCATACCTATATATATAAGCCCAACTGAAGAAAGGAACTGGCCCACATGAAACTTGAGATGACCTGACATGAAAGCACCACCGCATCACTCCTCCAACTCAAGTCCTTATTAAAGGGAAGCAATCAGCTCCTCAACTTAGCAACCAGGAAAAGAAAAAGGTGGGTCTTTCCAAGGCAATATGATCCATATTACATTGTATATCACATACAGTACCAAATATGAAATTTAAAAACACAAAACAGCGCTGGGGATTTAGCTCAGTGGCACAAGTGCGTGCCTGGCAAGTGCAAGGTTGTGAGTTCAATCCCCAGTATCAAAAAAAAGAGAAACAAAGTAGGAAAATCATATCCATAATCAAAAGATAGAACAGATCAAGAGATACAGATCTACATATTGAACAGACACTAGAATGATCAGAAACTATAATGAAAATCATAAAACTGAACATTAGAATTTCTGAAATGAAGATTTAATAGGCTTAACAGCAGACCAAAGTCAAATCTATGTATGTGTTATCATTTGATTTTCAACAAAGGAGTCAAGATGAATCAATGCAGCAAGAAAAGTTTCTTTAAAAAATGGCAACGTAACAAATGTCTCCAGGAAAGAAATAAATGGTAAATGTGAAGCAATGTATTTTTATCTTTTTAAAATGTTCTTTAAAAAACTTGAAGTCTAATGCTAAAGTTAACATTGTACTTTGGTATTTAAATGTATTAGGTAAAATATGTAACAGCACAAACCACAGTAGTACATGAATGTAATTCTAGCATTGTTAGGTACATTTTTTAAAGTATTACAACTTAACCTTCTAAGTAAAAGGTGCTACTAAGAACATTAGAACCATTAGAACACCTACTGAGAAATTTATACCACATGTTATTGCTAAAAAGCCAAAGGAAAATTAACAGAATAAAACATACCTGCCTCATCTAAAAGGCAGTAAAATACAGAGGAACAATCACCGCATGGGAAAACAGAAAATAAAATAGCAAAATGGTAACCTAAGTGCTAAGAAAATAATTTTAAGGACTAAATTTTTCAATTAAGAGACAAAGACTGATCATTTGAGTAAGATAACATAAAAACATGGCATTGGCACAAAAAAGAACCTACAGACAAGAAGACACAGAAACCTATACACCTTTAGCTGTTTGGTTATTGACAAGGGGCCCAAAACATATGCTGGAGAAAAGATAAATGTATAACAAATGATGTTGGAAAAGCTAGATATCCACATTAAAAAGGGTAAAAATTACATTCCTCTCTCACATCCTATATTAAAAACCAATTCAAAATGGATCAAACACCTTAGTATAAGACTTGAAACTTCAAATTTGTTAAAAGACAGGGAAATACTTGAAACTATAGGCACATGCAAAGCCATCCTTAATAGGACTCTAATAGCACAGGAAATAATACTAACAGTCAACAAATCGGATTTTATCCATTTAGAAGGCTTCTGCAAAGCAAAAGAAACAACAGAGTGAAGCAGCCATTTCCAGAATAGGGGAAAACCTTAGCTAGCTATTCTTCTGATAAAGGGTTAACATCTACAACATACAAGAAATTAAGAAAGCCAGACCACATATAATGCTTAAGTTAGAAATACTATTATTTTATAAATATTGTTAATACTTTAGGTACTTATGTCTACTTTACAGGTAAAACACCACTGTGCCAGGTCATCTAGCTACTTTATAATACAGGAAGAACTCAAATTTAGACTAGCTCAAAGTATGACCATGTTATCCTAATTACCTGCACCTTTTAGAGTAGTTTTCTTAATAGGGTATATGAGCCCTGTCTAGAGTATAAAAAACAGATGTTTCACAAGAGTAATTAGAAGGTACTGTCTATACATTCAACATCATGTTATCTTTAATGAATTAAGTACCTGAACCTAATTCACAAATAACCAAATGTATGTACTCTCAAAACCCATTATTCATTGTATCAGTCTCACAGGACTAAGCTTTAACAAAGTGCCAAAAATTATGTGGCATAAAATAGTAAATTTATTCTCTAAATTTTGGGCAACAAAAGTCTGAAACTAAGGTGTCAACAGGATGACACTTTCTAAACAGCTTCAGGAGAGCATTTGTTCTATGCTCTTAAACTTCTAGTTTCTTCCATAATCCTTTAGTAATGATTCCTGGCTGCTTACTCCAACAGTTGTCTCCATCTTCTTATGAGTCTTTTCTCTTCTTATAAAGAATGCCAGTCATGGAAAATTAGGAACCTATCATACACTTATATGGCTTTAACTTAAACAATTACATCTGCAAAGACTGTTTCTGGTTCAGATCACACTCCAAAGCGTAAGAGGTTAGGACTTCAACACATCTTCTAGGGTACCCAATTTAACTAACTGACACGTGCAGATTCCAATTCTCCTCCCTTTTGCTTTTTGGCACTAAGGTTTGAACCCAGGGCCTTCACACTGTGCCACCTCTTTTAAAATTCTAGGGCCAGGGTTATGGCTCAGTGGCACAGCGCTTGCCTGGCAAGCACAAGATCCCGAGTTTGATGCCCAATACCAAAAAGAAGTTAAAATTTTGATATAAGGTCTTACTAAGTCACTCAGCTGTGGGCTGGGGATACAGCTCAGCAGCACAAGCACCTGCTGAGCAAGCACAAGGTCCTGAGTTCAATTTCTAGAACCAAAAAAAAAGTCACTCACTTGCCCATGCTCAGGGCTTAGATCTGTAATCCTCCTCAGCCTCCCAGAAGGCTGGGATTACAGGTGGATGCCATTATGCTTAACTTTAAAGTCTTTTTAAACCTGTATCTTTGTATATGATGGATCAACCATGATCCACAGAATGCACATCTCACGATCCATTCATTTCTCTCTATATTTGCTTGAATACTAAAGTTTATGAAATTCATCAAGATTTGTAAAAGGACTGGCTACAGAATACTACAAAGGGAAAATTTGTCAAACTTTTAGATTTCTCAAGATACCCAATCTGGGGGCTGGGGATTTAGCTCAGCGGCATAAGTGCCTGCCTTGCAAGCAGGCAGTCGTGAGTTCGATCCTCGGTACTGATAAAAAAAAAAAAAAAGGAGAAAGACAAAAAAAAAAAAAAAGATACCCAATCTGAGCCATGTGTGGTGGCACACTCCTATAATCCCACCACCTTAGAGGTTGAGGCAGGAGGATCACTAGCCTGGGCTACAAAGTGAGTCCAAGGCCAAAACTGTATGGAGACCCTGGCTAAACAAAAAAAAAAAAAAAATCCAACCTGATCCATAGTATATACAAAACTCCACCTGAAGAATAAAGACTCAGACACAGAAATTTTTTAAAAAGAAAAGCCAGAAGTGATCGTTCATACAGTTTCTTACTTTACTCAATTTGTCCTTTGGTTGATTCTTTAGAAAACACCAATTCATTCTGTCCCAGCACGGTGTTAAAAATAAATTTAATTATGTCCTTTTCCATGGAAGCTGTGAACCAGTTATGAGGGAAAGCAAAATTTATTCTAAATTGAGACCCTCTATCCACCACAACTATTTTTTCATTCTACTTTTCTTTTTCCCTTTTGAAAAAGATTTTGCCAAAACTGGCTTTGAACTCCTAGGCACAAGTGATCCTCAGCCTTAGCTTCCTGAGTAACTGGGATTATAGATGTGTCACTGTACCCTCCTGGGGCTGTCTTTTGTGCCATGGCAATGACATAGGAAATGACAGTAGTAGCTAAAATAACTGGTAGTTAAGTTTCAGCACCTCATGTATGAGGTATTTAATATATTGTCATTATATCAAGTAACTTTAAATGTTTCATTCTGAAAGTCAATTAACAATGCCCCATTAAAACAGAACTAAAACTCTTAGGGTGAGATCTCAAAGCTAGCCCAACACTGAATTCACATGAACTAACTGAACTTGTCCCTTTAAAATTTTCATTTACCGTAAGAAGCAATTATATTCATCGTATTGCTTCTTCTGTTTCAATTACATTGTTAAATAGATAAGTCATGCACTAATTGAGAACCCTGTGGCACTTGTGTCCAGCTCCTTTCATTTGACATAATCCTTTCAAGGCCCTTCCATGCTGCCCCATTTCATGCTGTATAATCACTTCTTTACATAGTTAAGTCTACTGCTGAAACACATCTCATTTTATGTATTCATTCACCATCTGATGACCATATGGTGCTTCCACTGCAGTTAATGCTTACAGGTTATGTTGTATTTGCACACAAGCTTTTGTGTGGACTTACTTAAACTTCTCTTGGTTCTAGACCTGGGAATGAAATTGATGGGCTCTATGGTAATATACTTAACTTCTTGAGGACCAGCAAACTTTTCCAAAGTAACTAAGCCATTTTACATTTCTATGAGCAAATATAAAAGGGTTTCAGTTCTTCCATAATCTTACTTGGTAGTGCCTTTTTGAATACAGACATCTAGTGATTTTAAGTAGTATAACTGTCCATCACAGAAAAACACAGAACATTGTTGACTCAACAACGGAGATTATTAGCATCCAGAAGTGTTAAGATGACTTGTCATTTGCATTAAGATGTATAACATTTTATTTCTATTTGAATTAAGATGCATAACATTCTATATCCAATGATCATTAGATTATCTATTGCCCTTAACAGCCATAAATATTAGCTACAGCAGAAACTACTTTACCTAGGCATCTAAAGAAAATGGAAGAATTCAAACAGCAGAATTATTCTAAAATCCTTCCCTGCCAATGTTAATCTATTTAAAAATAATTTAGATTATCATGACTACAGAATGTGTTCTGAAAGATATATAGAAAGGTTGATGGTAGAATTTGTTGAGATGTCATTAAAATGTCCAGTCCTTAAAATACAGATAGAATGGAATGGAACAAACTGGACAGTTTCAATAACACCAAAGTGATTTCCCTGATAATAATGCCAAGTTCTGCAGAGGTATACATTTTTACTTAAAGCTTTGATGTGTGCAGTGTTTATTATATGTTGCGGTTTATTCCCCATCATTGTTTCAACAGCTAAATACCAGAAATGAATCAAATTAGGTTAAGTGTAAGATATTTTGCATAAATACTATAATCCAAAATTCACTATGTATTAAGTTAAAGGAGCACTAAAAAGTTAATCCTCAACCCTCATCATTGAATTCCTCTGAAAACTTGTTACTGAACTAATTATAATCTTTTATTACAAATATTTATTCAAAGGGTAACAAAAATTTCATATAGACATACAGAATACTAAGGAATAAAAACATGTGAATATGATCAATTACTTATTCACTGATTCTCTTTCTTTGGTGTATTTCTAGTTTCTTTAAATTTCAGAGAGATAATTTTTGTGCGTTTCAAACAACACAAGAAAGGTATAGCAGCTCTGATGTATCTGCAGGGGATTGATTTTTAGAACCCTCTTTCAGGAATCAAAACCCTGCAGATGCTCAAGTCTCATATGTAAAATGATGTAGTAAATGCTACATACATAGCTGTTATGCTGTACTGTTTATGAACTAAAAACAAAACCAAAAAGTCTGCACATGTCCAGTACAGATGTAATTTTTCCTCAAATATTTTCAATCTGTGGATGGTTGACCCCAGAACCTGGAAGCTGTGGGCACAGAGGGCTGACTATACATCTGGTCACTACAGTTTCATAACTTTTTTTTTTTTACCTGTGTCCATACTTTGGTTCAACTGTTGATCACTTGTTTCTCCATCTTCACTGATATATCCAGGTGGTGGCGTTTCTACAAAAGTTTAGAACAAATAACATACATGTGATAGAATTTTACCTTTTTTTTCAGTTACTAAGTATAAACAACTAATCATTCCAAAGAACAAGAAAGGAGACATATAACGTTATTATAAAAAAAAAATATTGGACTAAGGGTTATGATTCAGATTTCCACCCAATTCTGCAAGTGAATTCTTAAATTCTACTTGTTGCACAGTCCAGCGCATTTTAGCTGTCTGGTTCTTTCCATATTCTTGGGCCAAGAGCCAAGAACATAACTTCAAAGATACTTCAGTTCTCAACTCAGTAAGCTTCAAAGACTTTAGTGCCCCCTCAAAATTCTTTCTTTCAACTAACAGTTATCATGAATGGGTAAGAAAATTAAAGATTACAAAGAATAATACAGGCTTACATCTTACACTCTTTTATAAGACAAATTATAATAACATGGTTCATAACTAGTCTAGCCTGAATGCTACCTAAAAGATATTTTTCCAGGATTTCCAACTGGTAAATTCTGTTTGAAGCAGAAAATTCAAGTACAAAGTACAACTTAAAAGAGGCCATTAACATCCCTTGAAAATAAACAAGATTCTAATATGTCATTTCCAACATGTTTTTTGAACAAAATGGCACTATGGAACCAACAGGACCTAGGCTATTCATGCTGAGCTATATCCCCAGGCCCTTTTTTAAAAAAAAATTTTGGGACAGGACCTTGCTAAGTTCTTCAGGCTGGGCTCAAACTTGAGACATTCTTGCCTCAGTCTCCAAAAGTATTGCAATTACAAGTGTGATCACCACATCAGGCTAAAAAATAATCAACCTTTTTAAATTGTGTTTCTTTACTTTTCTCTACTGTTCAACTATAAATGAATCACAAATTTATTAGGATCTTATAAAAATGTTAAAATCTCGCTTCAGGTAGAAGAAAAATTTTTTTGATTCACTATTTACTTGAGCTAGATAAAGGCTTAAAGTCAAGCAAAGTTAACAGGTATGATTTACTTCTGATTTTCTAGTATAAAATACTCAAATCTAAACAACTGAAGAAATAAAGAATTGAAAAAATCTTCACATGAAGGCTACTAAAATTATGAATACCCTTACAAATAATTATCAAATGTCTCATTGTTTAATCACAGTAATACCAACACCAAAATTTTAAAATGCCTTCATGGCTCATTTCACACACACCCCACGGTGCAAGTCACCCCTACTGCCTTCCATGCTTTGACACTGAGCCTGGCACCGTGGCAATGGTTATATCCCCAGACAATCCCCTACTTTTTTGAGGCTGTCTCAATGAACTGCTAAAATTATTCTGCCTGTGCTTCATTTTATGATCCTCCTGCTTCTGTCTCTCAAAAGTATGGGAATACACATGTGCATTATCTCACCATTCTCAGTCAGGTTTATGAAAGAAAGAATGATTTCTTTTGTGGAGGAAATGTCTTGTAGCATCACTGTTCTTCCTTAACCTGCTTCTCCATACTCTACCCACCCTCTTTTCTCTTAACTTCTCAAAAAGTGTTATCTACCAGCAACATAAACAGCAGTCTTCAAGTTCAGTGGTGGTGATACAACCCCTGCTCTCTGAGAGGCTGAGGCAGGAATATAACTTATGTTCAGCCTGGCCAACTTAAAAGAGACCTTAACTCAAAATGAAAAAATAAGGGCTGAGGATGTGGCTTAGTGTGAAAGTACTAAGTTTGATCCCAAATACAGAAACAAAAACCCCTAAAACAACAGCCTTGAACCTTGTTCTGGAATAAAGCAGTAGTCAAAGAACTTCAGACAATCAGAAACCACTTTCCATCTGCAAAACGAGGCTTTTTCTTAAAAACAAAACTTTTGCTTACATTTTAGAAATTGTGTTCAATGCAAAAGCACTGTTTTCATAATAAAAGTTTTTTAAGAACTCTTAGGTTCCCTACATATTTTTCGTTGTAAAATAAGGGCAGAACAGAGCAACATCAGATAAGCAGGAAACTGAGACATTGAAAATCCAGCATATAGCTTAGTCTCTATCCTAATGTCTCTTCTTGGGGAAAAACAAAGTGAAATACATAAACAAAAGTAACAAAATATAAGTTGTTCTCCTAAAATTTAATAAAAACTAAAAAGGGCAAGTACTATACTGTGTATTGCTGAGTCATGTGATATAAGTAAGAACCATGTAACAATCATTTCTCTTCAGGAGCTTCTGAGGTACATAAGAAAGAATTAAAATGAAAGTTCTCATTTTTCAGAATAACATCAGTGTTGTTCCATCTACAGAACTACGATAGTACAACTCCTGTTCTGTTACCATGTTCCTGCCAACTTGAACCACCAGTGGTAAAAGCATGACTGTCTCTTTGGGCAGCAAATTCAAGCAACTACATATGGTCCATTTATAGACTTTTTATTAATTTTATCAGTAAAAAGACTGATGAAGGTGATTAGATCTAGTTGTACTTCCAATGATACAAGCCTCTCAATGGCAATGCACACCACCAGTGGTTCAAGCTGGTGGGACTGCTAACGTCAAATCAGCTGCCTGGCTGTTAGACCTAAGAATTACAGCCAAGAGTTAAAAATGTCACATTTATCAAATTCCCTAAGAAAAAGTGATTATGTGTTAGACTTTTAGTTCTATGTATTACAAAAATACTTTTTTCTGTAGTATTTAGATTCTGTATCTCTCTCAGCTTCAACAACCAAGACAAACTAAGTTCTTTTCTGCTTCTCAAACTCAGTTTAAAAAAAATGTAATATAAAGTAAAATTTGTCTTTAAACAAAAGTGTTATATATTTCATGAAACAATTACCCATTATATCAGACTTTTGTATCCTAAACCCAGGAACATTTTTAAAAAGTAAAAGCACAATTTACTAATGCCCAAATGTTTGTCACAGAAGTTTTATTTTTAAGTTTTAGTAGATTCAGAAAGCAAAAATACCTGGGATATAATTACTCTGTGGCTCAATTCCCGCTGGGAAATTAGTGTTTTCTGGTATGGAATGGGTATAATCATCCAGAGGTGGTAGTTCTGTGAGAATCTCAGTGTGCCGTGGCACCAATACTGGAGGCAAAACTACAATAGTTAAAAAGAGACCAGAGTTAGTGGCAAGGAGCAAAAATGTGTAGGGGAAAGCATAGTAAAAATTTTTATAAGAAAAAAAGCAGCAACTTAATTTTTAACAGTTAAGGTCCACCTATTTGGTATTATGCTAGTTACAGAGAAACTGATTATGGCTTTAACTGACATAGTATACCATCTACATTTCCAAGTCTGCATTTCTCTTATACTTTTGGAGATAATGTGCTATCGCCTTTGTATTATCATAAAAGTATATAAATCTCCATTATAAAAGTTAAATAAAGATTTGCCTTAATTTGGACAGTCAGATTTAGCAAATTTCTCTAAAAATATAGCTTTTCAAGAAAGCTTCAAGTACACAGCTGACTAAATGAAAAATCTTGCTATTGAATGGCTCATATACAAATACTGTCATTAATGTTACTCCTGAAGTCACTCAAGCAAAGCACAAAGTCACACAGAGTCACACAAAGTAAATGCTTAAAAATGATACTGAGCGGAATTTTATAGAAGTCTACTGGTTTTACTATAAAGAAGCAGCATACCTGTGAGATATCCTAGATATAAACCAAAAGTCAAATAGTATACTCTCCCAAGAAACCGACAAATCTTTACAAGATATATTTTCTCATTAATAAAACAGCATTTAAAATTTTTAACCACCACATATGCCTGATTTAAAATATTTAGAATTTTACACTAAAATTTACCTGAGCCACACGAGAACACCTAAATATGACTAAAATTTATGTATTCAAAACCTGAAAAAATGTCTGCAGTTGTCCTACCTGGTGTCTCAACTCTCTGATAATGATAAGGGTTTACACATACTTCATCCTTTTTTAGATTAAAAGCATATTCGCAGTTTTCAATTGCCTTGAGTTCATGGTGACTGTGAAGATCAGGCCAGCGCCATAACCGACAATATATAACATGTGGCAGTCCTTTTCGATGTGAAACCTGAAGACGACCATCAAGAGACCTATTGGAAAGCAAGCACAAAAAAGGGAGTAAACTTTAAAAGAAAAGAAGTAAGTATAGCCATATGTGCTAAGGTAACATACACTGAGAGCATAAAGAAAGGAAACATTTAGTTAGCTTTAGCAACAACCAGGAAGAAAAATGTACTCTTCAAGGATCTGATAAAATAAACAGCAGCACTAGCAGATGTTTCCCAACAATATGCTACACAAATGACTCAAATGCCAATGAAAGTCTAACCACTTGGGAAAAATCATCTTTTATAAAGAGTATCATGTGGTCTTACTTGATAAATTTGTTAACATCTTTAGTTAGTCAAATTCTTTTTTAGAAATGCTTCAAAGAGCCTAACTCTGTAGATAACTTCATAGTTAAAAAAAGGAAGTAGTGTGAAGAATGATAAATATTAACAATGACATGGTAATATCTAACTCAGACTAGTATAACTCATTATTCAGTTGTCACTGTTTTGATAACTGAGATATATTAACATTGCTCACACATAAATGCAGATGATGATGAATATGATGGGATGAAATGGACAAATATCAATATACTTAAAAAGAATGAGATGGCTTTTTAAAAAAGGTAACATAAAAATGAGTTAGCCTATTGTTAATTGTGATAGGAATTCAGTAAATAACTATGTATTAGTATATAATACAACATGAAATTTAGATAACAAGAAATTTAGCAAAAACTGATTATGTATTTGCTTAAATATTAGGCCAACAGATTAATCTAAAATTGAACTATAATGAGTAGTTATCAAAGTTCTCATTCTTCAGGGGATTCAATTTAAAAAAGATTCAAAACTAGATTGCATTGATCAAAACATAGTTGAAACATTTAATATATGTTTAATACTGGCAAGCACATAAATTTAAATGCTATGCCTTATTTTACATTAAAGAAACATCTTAGGCAAAATTATATTACGCAACCCAGTAGAGGTCTTCCAAAACAACCCCCCCTCCCACAAGATCTCCAGGATTGACAGAGGGCAGAATATTCACCTGGTTTGTTCAGAGAAGCTGTAAAGGCCTGTTGTATCCCACTGATCTATCGTATTTGGTGTACTCAGTCCCCAAATTTCAGAGCAAGTGCTGTGCATAAATTGAAAAACAAAAAATTGATGTGAACATGGAAGCATGGTTATTCAAAATACCATGATGTAAAACATGGAGAATGTACAGAATACTTCCTTCACCCAGAAAATATATATTATTTCACTTTTTCACAGGTATTTAGTGCTAGTTACTATATTTTCTATATGAAGGAAGCCAGTAAAATGGAACATGTGACTCCAGATAAGTTATGATTATGTTTTCAAAATGTGAACACCAATATTCTCTAGCTCAATGAAATCTTATCTATAATATCTTTCCATTTTCTCTACTCAAAACAAAAGAACTACTGCCTACACTATTAGCCTTACAAAAATGCTTCATTTTATCAGTTTTTTAAAAATTTAGAAACATCTCAATTGGTACTTGTAACAGGAAAATTCTAATTAAAAGACGCAGCTACAGTTAAGATTTTCAAGTTGTTTCAATACTTATACATTCAGTTTCACTGAAAATTACTCTTGCTTTCTTAACCCTTTAAAAAGCATAAAGAGATTTTGTAGTCATTCCAAAATAGCACACCACTTTAAAATTTCTCTTCCAGATTCCCTTCTAGAATATGGGCAGTCCAGAGATAATTCTCCTTGTGTCCCCTGCCACTACTCTTCTCAAAGTAACTTCAGGTCTTGTGAAAGAAGAGTTTAAAGGGAACTTTTGGAAAGGAACTTCTGACTGCAAATGTCTCTCAAGTCCCAAGCTACACTTCTAAAATTCGTCAAAAGGTAACTTTAAAATTCAATTCCATTTCTCACAGACCATAAAACATCAAATTTTCAAACAGAAAGAAGAAACATTTCAAGTCAACCTCTGAAAATAAACAATTGGTTAAATTCAGAATTTACACTGCTACCAAGCTACCTGCACTCAGCATTGCAAAGGTCAATGAGCTGGCTGCTGGTGCCTGGGCAACACAATCCTGCACACAGCCACTCATGGCAGGAGACAGTCGTGCCTTGCTTTAAAGGCGAAGGTACATAAATGATTAATAAGAAACAAACAGAAACATATTCAGAAATTTTCCTGCCTTAAGACAGTTTAGATTCTTCTGCTTTTTTGGGGTACAAAACTTATCAGACTAAAAAAAGTCACAAAAAGCTAAAAAAAAATTAAAGATCTAGATAACATAGACCTTTCCTTTTCCCAGACATGCAATGATTAAAAAAATATTGTTCAATACAAATATCTACTGGAAACATACAGAACAACATAGTTTGGTTTTGTTTGTTATTTTGGGGTTTTTTTGGGTGTGTGTGTGTGGGGGGGCAACCTCACATTTGCCTGGCAGGCGCTCATGCTGCTGAGCTAAATCTCCAGCCACAATACAGTTTAAATCACAACTGAATCACCTAAAGTCTTGTGAATCTGAGTAAAATGAAAAAAGTATACAGCTTATTCTTTTTTCTTTGAAAATAATTTAAGAAAATGATTGACAAAATAGACCAGAGGCTATTTTGTTCCTCTAATACTAGAAAGAGTATTTCATTTGAGGTTCTGTAGGACTTATGTAAGAACTAGAATCCAAATTAGTGCAAAGGTTTAAATTGTGCTCTACTGAAGTCTTGAAATAAACCAAAGAACAATGGTAGTTGTTAAGAATATGCAATCAATCTAGAAGCAGACAGACCAAACTTTTAAATACGATGTAGCCACTTTCTAAGTGCTATTCTGAGGTATAGTTAAATCTTAGTCCTTTTACTGTAACACCTCCCTCACAAAATTGGAAGATTAAAATATTAAATGTGCTACTAGTTAGTAAAGTCTTTGTTTCAGAAGTATGAAAAGAACTCACTTTATAAAATATACAAAACTAGAGTAAATGTAATTATGAATGTCTAAATTATACAAACATTTTTAACATAATTAAAAAAAAAGTATATTAAACAAAGCAAAAATGGCATGTCCCTGGATAAGATACTATCATAGAAATATCAAGTCTATTAAATTTTATGTTTGACACAATCTCAAGAAAAATAACACTCTTTAGATTCTGATAAGATTATTCCAAATGGCCAGGTGTGGTGGCCCACATCAGTAATCCCAGCACTTAGGAGCTGAGGCAAGGGACAGCTGTGAGTTCGAGGCCAGCCTGGACTACATGATACCTTGCTCAAACAATAAAAAATAAATATTCCAAGTACAACACACCAAAACAAATAAGGATGATCAGGAAAACTAAGAAGGAAAAGCAGAGATCTGCTCAGAGATTTTGAATATTTCAATAATTAAAAAAGCATGCAATTAGCAAAAGAACACACAAAACAGGAGACGTTCTGTTTCTAACAATGCCAACAGTGGCCTCAATGAGATAAACTTTTGACTAGAGATAATAAATTGTGAATCAAATATAATTAATTAATGAAGATAGCAGAGAACACTAGAAACAGGTAACAACTGAGGAGATATCCACCTGTGAGAGAGGAAACTTACTGTGACAGAGCTGCATTTCCAAGGCTTTGTACCTGAGGGCACTCCCCAGTCTGAGCTTAGCAGCGCAACCAGAACTCAAGGAGATAACTTCTAAATGTACATAAAGGAGTTTTAGGGAGGGGGATCAGAATATGACTGAACTCTGCTCAAATCTTTGACTGAACCTTAGAAATAAATATGGGCAGACCACAGGGTTCTGCTGAAACTAGCACTGGGAAGGCTGGAACAATTAAGATTTTCAGCTTCTGAGGCGACACAGACCTATCTGTAGAACAAAAATAAGTTGTCCAAGGAGGATAACAGAATTCAGAGTCTCTACAATGTTTCATCTCAAATATCCAGTGTATGACCAAAAATAGCCAATGTGAATTAGAAAACATTACCCTTAGTCAAAACTTAAAAAATCAACAGGATTAGGTGCCAAGATGAACTAGCAGACAAGGAACTTAAAGTAGTACTAATATGTTCATTAACCTAATGAACAGATCAGGAATCTCAACTGAGCAATGGAAGCTATCAAAATGAATAAAAAGAAATACAGGAAGTGTAAAGAACAAGCTCAAATTAAAATTAACGTAGTGCTTATAGAATTAAAAGACTAACAAAAAGAACAATTTCAGTTAACATGTAGTTTCAGAAATAGAAGACTTGAAAAAAATATTTAAAATACTACTACACGGAAAAAGGAAGAGCTTAGCATTTTTCAAATTTAATAAAAATTAATTTTTATTCAAGAAGTTCACCAATTTAAAAAAATCATACTCTGGTAAATCACTGTCAAACTGTTGAAGATAAACAGAAGTGTGGAAGAAATGAGAAAGGCAAAAACTCAAGGTATGTACAACTCCATTCATACTCCCCCACTGTGGTTTGACCATTCTTTATCTAGCATGCTTTCTAGCAGTCTAAGCCTGTGGCCTTTGGATAATTCACACTTTGTGTTCCTGTCTGTAAAAGCTGAACGTTGCTAAGAGAAGTTGCCACTTGTTTCATTTAACACCTAATGAATGACCACTGTCCTTCCTTTTTTAGAGCAATTATACTACAAAGCCTTATACTTTCTGAAATACATACTTATCTCCTACAAAGCAGGAGAGTTTTTCTCAAAGACCTGAACATCATTCCTTTAAAATGCAATCATCAGGAAGGCCTCTGTCTCCCAATCTAAGGGAGGATAGAAACTTAACTTTAATAAACACCAGCACACATAAATGAACCCAATCCAGCGACACTAAATAGCCTTTAATGTTTTTTTATAAATTTTCACCTATTTGACTCTGCCTGAGCACTTGCCCCAAATGCCTTCTTGCTTTTTCTCCATTTAATGTCATCTCCATATAAGTCATAAATGAACTTAGCCATTCCTTTGCCATAGTAGTTACTGAGTAAAACCTGTTTTTACTGCTTCTGAATCACATCTATTTTGTGCATGCTTGGCAGTAGCCAGGGCAGAACAATCATTAAATACAGAGGCATAAATACTAATAATTTCTCCCTGAGAAACCAATGAAGTCAGAAGGTAACAGAATATTGTCACAGAAGTGAAAAGGGCAAAAGAAACCCACTCTTACACAAGAATTCTGTAACAAAGGAATCCTGTCCTATGTGAAAGAAGTAAAACCAAGTACAGGTTCAAAGTTGCTTCTAACAGTTTGACTGTATAAATGACATACTAAAAAAAGTTTTTTGAGATGAGAAAAGATGAAAGCAAAACAAAACTGTAAGTACACAGTTACATATAATAGGTGTTACCTTTTATATTAATTTCTATAAAAAGAATTAAGGCAAAAACTCCAAAAATATGTGAACATAAATGATGTAATAGTAGCACAAAGAATAGAAGATATAACACCAACTACTATACTGTTACAGAGCAAAGGTTAAATATTAGAATCTAGAAAGTCATCAGTCACCAGAATTTAAAAAAGCAAACATATAACTAAAAGGTGTAAAGAAAATTAAAATGAAATATTAGAAATACAACTCCAAAAGCTACGAAATAAAAGCAAAAGTATTATACAAACAATAGAAAACAAAGAGTAAAATCATAGACTTTAAAATCGCACTGATACTGACATTAAACATAAATATACCACATATTTCAATAAAGGTAAGATTTGCCAGAATGAACACAAGATGTAAAATGTCCACAAAAAATGAATTTAAATAAGGTCACAGATAAGTTAGAAATATAAAAAGGGAAACTGTCGAAGCAAGTATCTAGTTTAATAAGGCAGATACTATAATAATAATAAAACTTAGAGATTATTACCAGAGGTAAAAAAGACATTTCATAAAAGGATCAATTCATGATAAGATATTAATAATCCTGTACTCACTAAAAAAAGAAAGTTTTGGCATATATAAAGCCTGGACATGTACCTCAGTGGTAGAGTGCTTGCCAAGCATGTGTGAGAGACTGCATCTGATTCCCAGCAACATGACAGAGAAAAGGGTAGGGGGTTCAGGAGGAATATATGCAGGAAATGACAGAAAGATTTAGAAGATTATGAAGAAATTGGTAATTCTCTGGACAGTAACACTATTCTCAC